CTCTGGGAGGGTGCAGGCAGGGCACAGGCAGACCACCGCCCCCGCCCTGCCTGCTCCTGGGGGAGCACAGAGGTCGTCAGTCCCGGGTTTCCCGCGGATGGGACCGGGGAGCCCCCCTGGAGCCCCCCTGCCTGTGGGGGCATTGCCCCCTCCGTACTCTGACCCTCAGCAGGCAGAGGTGGGCAGGAGCGGGGCAGGCAGGGGGGTGCGTCCCCGGGGCACCCGCTTAGCTCAAGCCAGTACAACTGGCCATGCCTTGCAGGGCTGCCGGTGAGGGCAGGGTGGCAAGCAGCTGCCCGCCCCGCCGCCCACGGATGCTCACCCCCGCTCATCAGGTACTCCCTGAAGACAGGCAGGCGGAAGTTGCCGGCCAGGGTGGTGAGGAAGGGCCGGATGCCCGGGAACATCTCCCCGAAGCCCGTCGAGCCTGTGATGAAGTTGCAGAAGGCGCCGACGCAGAGGATGCCATGGGGGTGGGAGCCGATGATGTAGTTGTGGCTGGGGGACAGGTCGTGCGTCTTCACCAGCTGCGGGGACAAAACGGCGTCATGGGGTCATAACAGTGGCATATCCTTTTGGGTGGTACCACCACCACCGCCTGCATGAACATCCCGTCCCGGCACCCCGGCTCCCCACGCCGTACCTTCACGGGGAAATAATCCCGAAAGTGCCTCCACACGGGCCATCGCCGCAGGCACGGCAGCCTCCTGCCACCTGCAAACCGGGGAGGGACCGCAGGAGATGACGCCCACCCCAGCGGGCAGCAGGACCCGCGGGAAACACTCCCCACGGACCCACCGCATCCCTCTTCCCGCCACGATGATGATGGGGGAGAGGAGGGAAAGAGCAGGTGGGACGTGGTGCTCCCCATTTGCCGTGCTGGGATGGACCCAGAGAAAGGGGGGACCCCACACCCCATCCTGCTGCAAAGCTGGAGGAAGGGGGGGGCTCTGCCCATTCCCACCTTTCTCCGGCGTGTCCCAGTCAAAGATGATCCAGGCCAGGTAGAGCACGGAGATGGGCCAGAAGCTGGTGAACACCAGGTAGATGAGGAGCAGCAGGCTGATGGTTCCTGCAGGAGCCGGGGAGGGGGGTGAGCCGGCACGCGCCCACCCTGCCGGGACCCCCCGCAGCCCCCTACTCACCCAGCAGCAGGAAGCTGAGCACCCACTGCAGAACGGAGAGGAGCTGGAGCCAGGAGCGGATGTCCCGCTGCGAGGGCCAGGGTGCTGCGAGCAGGGTGCGCAGGGTGGACTGGATGCTGGCGCGGCTGCCTGCGAGGAAGGACACGGCACCCAGCCCAAAACAGCACGGGTTGTGCAAATGCTGTCCCAGCTAGCCGGGGGGGACCCGGTCCGGTGGTACCCGTGTCTGCTGGGGTTGGGGTATGGGGGCAAGGCGGGAGGTAGGATGGGAAGGGTGAAGCAGTTGGGCAAGGAGGGATGGGGGATGCTCATCCCCAGAGAGCTCTGGACCATGCCAAGAGTGAGCCCTGGGCAACCCGAGGCTGCTCTGGGGCCAGCCCTGCTCCAAGCAGGGGGCAGCTGGCAGGCTGGGCACCCCTAAGCCCAAACGCATCCGTGAGCCTGGGTGCACCAGTGGAGCCCAGCACAGCGGCACATCCCGCACCGTGCCGAGCTCCCCGAAGACCAGAACCTTTCCTGTGCCCTCCTTGGCACGTTCAGGCTCACAAATAATTCGGGGCTTTCTCAGCCAGGCCGGCACAGCAGGGAGGTGCAGGGCCGCGTCTGCCCCCCAGCAAGCGCCAAGGACAGTGGCCAGGGGCCGAGCCAGGGGCCGAGGGTGGCTGTCCCCGGGGCTGTCCCCACCGAGCCTTGCCTCCCGCGAGGGACAGTCCAGCAGCCCATGGCCGCTCCACTCCCCACGCCGCCCCCTTCCCTCCAGCCGACCTTGGTGAACCATTAACCTCCCCAGGCCGGGTGCCAGGATCCAAACTCCACACGCAGCCCCATCCCTCCTCCTGGAAACAGGCCCAAGGTGCCGGTCCCGCCAGCCCACCGCTCCCGGCCAAAGGTCCGCTGCAGCCGAGACAACCTGGCACGGCCGCTAC